ACGTGATAAATTCCCGGTGAATTTATCACGATGGGCTAACTGATCTGACTTCATGTTCATCATTTCATCGTCCACTGGTGCCCTGCCAGCGTAAACCGTTAGCGCAGGCGGGTGCATCATTCCATTATCATCCACTAAAAAAAAAATCGTAGGTGATGTTTACAGAATAGCTCTACAGTTATGTGGTAGCATGTTGTAATGCATTTAGGACTCCCCCTTCAATCGATTCCTCGTCCAATTCAAACGGGGATCGAAATTACGACGACCTGAGCCGAGGTTCGTTCTTCTAGCGGTGTCCTCAGACTAAAGTCGTGTCTATCAGTCGGGAGTTGTCCTTCAGCCTCTCCATAAATCCTTCCTTTGGTTTGGAGTGCCATCTGCACTCGCCCCCTATCGTCCGGTGAAGCTATAAAGGCCAGCTGCAGCCAATAGCATTAGAGTACTCAAAAAAAAGCATTTAGAAGTAGATCCGTAATACATGCCATGTCGTTGTTTCGGACCCTTAAGGTGATTGAGTTGAGGTCCAATAACCTTAATTTGTTGTGAAAATGAATCTTTGATGCCCTCGGTGGTCTAGGAGTTTAACACATCGCTTTACTTTCGATTACAACCATCGGAAGTAAAGCGATCTTTCGTAATCTCATTTAATAATTAATAACAATAATTTCATTCCCAGCCAACCCTCCCAACTAACATCATTTACTTTTCCTTATACCATACTAGCTGACTCGTGCAACTTCGTCTGCATTATACTTACTTGACGTTTACCATAATCTTGCGGAATAGTAATACGATGTTGGAGATTTGCGAATGTGGATGGATGGATGGATGTTTGTAACTATTTCCTGCAAAAACCACTGAATGAAACTTTACACTAATATAGCTCATACATCAGAATAACACTATAAATTAGTGTTAGTGGGCTATAAATTTAAAATGGGTGAAACCGTCGACACATCTGATCAAAAGTAAAAAAAGTTGGTGGATTCTTTTAAAGGTATTTCGAAGGAATAAAAAAAAATAGATGTTTGACAAAATGGCGGCTATTTAAAAAATTATTAATAATATTTTTATTTTAACTTTTAATTTCATTCACCAACATTTCCTTCACATTATATTACTTGTTTATGCCCAAGTCGAGTAACCGCCAGATGTGCAGTTAATGCGGCACATTACTGCCGCTAATCTGTGGGCGGAGTCGGGTGACAAACTGCTAGTTTTGATGGGCGTGCGCCATTGTAACCGAGTCGCGATTGTTAAACTTTTGTATGAATTAAATGGCGATCGTTTTGATGATTTCTGATGACAAAACGAGAGAACTTCTATAGGGCAGTTACTTAGATACTCCAAAATCATCGCATCAGCAATAGAATTAATTAAAGCCAATAAGACGTAACACTGCGACCTACATAGATCTATAGTGCTCGCCCTTTTTCTGAGTTCGCTACCTAGACTCGTCAGGGACAAGTATTGAAGGATATTCTTAGGAGCGATGGTTTTTATCTCCGCAGGATTGAGTGTAGGTATATTGGTATTCTGTGACATTTTGTATGTGTAATAAGTGTTATTGTAATTATATATTTTAAATAACATCTATTCAAAAGAGCAACACAGAAGTTTCTTGCTCATACTTCTTGTGATGAGTCTGCGTTTCGAATGAGTGATAGAATAAAAAAATATGACTATTCAAAAGTGCTTGTATTGAGTTTATTTAAATAAAGATTATTTCTATTTCCTTATATTGTTTTTTACTTTTTTTATAGCACAGGGAACAAATGATCTTGCTGGTCACCTGATGGTAAGTGATTACCGCCGCCCATGAGCACTCGCAACACCAGAGAAATAGCAAATACGTTGACGGCCTTTTAAGAAGGAATAAGCTGTTTTCTTGCAGTCCCAATATCGTATCGGTTCGGAAATACCATTGCTGGAAGTTGATTCCACAATGTGATTGTGCATGGCAAAAAGTTTCTAGGAAACCGCACTGTGGAGGACCGCCATTCAGCCAGATGATCAGGATGGTATTTTAGTTTCTGGCGGGTGGTACGGTGGTGAAACTGAGCAGCTGGTATTAATCTAAACCATCTTTAAGAACACTCCCCATATGCGGTAGAAAATTCACAGAGTAGCAATATCTCGGGAGCTAATGGGTCGAGTCTGTCACAAAGACGTCGATTTCCAATGATTGGCTGCTTCGGTTCTGAATACGGTTAAATGGATGAATATTTAGTATGTGTTGGATATAAACCTCCTTTGTGTTATGGACATATATTATTGTACATATAAAAAAGAGAAAAGAAATGTTTGCGGATGGTGTTTCCTTATTTGCCCTCTACATAAATAAAATCGCAATAGTATGTAGGTAAGATCAATATTGTAATGTACATTTGGTCAGTACATTCTCATCTGTTAATATACATCTCAACTTACGTCTATTTTTTTTTTCGGACTACTCTAATGCTGGCCGCAGCTGGCCTTTACAGCTTCACCGGACGTTAGGGGGTGAGTGCAGATGGCACTCCAAACCCGCTGAAGGACTTATGGAGCGGCTGAAGGCCAACTCCTGTCTGACGGATACGACTTTAGTCTGAGGGCACCACTGGGGGTTCGAACCTCGGCTCAGGCCGTCGTAATTTCGATCCCCGTTTGAATTGGACGGGGGATCGATCAGAGGGGCACTTACAACGACGTATTACTATCCCGAAACAGGGGGAAAGACATCATGAGTACATTACTAATTACTATTTACCCCATTGCTAGCAATGTACCATGTCAGGTTGACCTCCACGCGGTTCTCCTTGGAGACCGCGATAAATTTTTAGTGAATATGTCACGATGTGCTAACTGACCTGACCTCATGCTCATCTTATCATCCTCCACTGGTGCCCCGCCAGCGTAAACCGTTAGCGCAGGCGGGTGCACCATTCCATTATCATCCGTAAAAAACCTAGTTTATATCCAGTCCTAAGTTATGATGCGGCGTGGTCACCTTCAATTTACGTCAAACAAACAATAAAATCAACTATCTTTCATTTCTATTGTTGAAATGTCAAAGGGCAAACACATTAACTCGTGTGTCATATTGACAAATATTCTATCAAATATATGTATATACGAAAATGAATCTTATTACTATAGTCTTAGAGTCGATAGATATAATATTAGAGTCTTCTATTGTAAACTAATTTTAAATCGTATTGTATTGGACTTCAAGGTTCAAAATGGAATGTATGCATGTGGCAATGGTACGGGAAATCCTATAAAGCTTGCTGATTTATCTCACATACGATTTTGGACCTTAATTGTAGTAGAGTAGAATAAAATATTATTTAACTTGTGTGAAAATAATGTTATTTTGAGAGATGTTACAAATAATAGATTTAGCTCACTGACACGCCCACTTTTCGATAACATTGTAGGGTGACCGTGTACCTCGTCTTCAACAGTACGTAGTACTGTTCATGTTTATTTATTTTGAGTTTCTTTCGAGACTCTAAAGTATAAATTTTAATGGGCCCGATGGTAAATCTTCATACTATATATAAAAATTACGTGTAGTTGTTTGTCCGTGATGGACTCCTAAACTACTGAACCGATTACAAATTTGATTTGCACATTGTGTGCAATTTGATCCAACTTGAAAGATAGGATAGCTTACATCTCAATTTATAGTCGCAATATTATTTTATTCAAGAACCTTAGCCACAGCAACGCATGGCCGGGTCTGCTAATTACAAACAAAATAATATGACGACCTCGGTGGTCTAGCGGTTTAGCACACAGATTTACGTCCGATGGTCAATGGTTCGATTCCTCGCAAGGCTCAAACATTTGTACTCATGAGTATGATTGTTTGTATCAGTCTGGGTGTTTCTATGTATACTATGTAGATATTTACAAAAAAAAATCTATGTATATGTATCAGTTATCTAGTACCCATAACACAAGCTAAACTTGGGTCTAGATGGCGCTGTGTGAATTGTCCTGAGATTATTATAATATCAAAAATAATTGCTTCTGTGGTAAAGACAGTGGCGGCAGTCTTCCACGATAGCGTAGATACAATATAGGTGACGGTTACCACTTACCATCAGGTGGACAAGGTGACGACTTGTTTACTGTTTCAATTATATAAAAAAATCTTAAATAATTGAACAACTTTTCAGTTGCGTCTCTTTGAAGTCGGTTAAAACTATTTTATTAATAACGTATAAGTAATAAGTTATGTCCATAGTAATATTCTAAATCGAAAATATGTCTGATTCAAGACTACAAACAGGTCTTTATACGACTTTTTTATTTTAATGCTGTTGTCCGCAGTTGGCCTTTACAGCTTCACCGGACGATAGGGGGCGAGTGCAGATGGCACTCCAAACCAAAGGAAGAACTCATGGAGTGGCTGAAGGCCAACTCTCGCCTGACGGATACGACTTTAGTCTGAGGGCACCGCTATGGTTTCGAACCTCGGCACAGGCCGTCGTAATTTCGATCCCCGTTGAATTGGACGGTGCATTGTCGCATGCCTTCTCCTTGTTAATGTGTATTGTGTGAATACAATATACTGGTAGAAAAAAGTGTTATTATTAGGAGTGGTAGAAATATTAAAGAAACTAATAATGTATATCACACGGCATTTATTATTTTTTAATTTACAATATATATACCTATATATAATTAATTAATATGCTATAAACTAATATCTTAAACATAAATTTACACATTGATTTATTGCGATTTGGACAGGGTTTGCTTTTTTATCAATTTCAAAAGAGGAGCAGATTCTATATTATTAATTATTATAATTAAAATTGTAGAGTCTATTTTTCAAAGTTAGAATTATTCTAATGCTAGTTGCCGCAGCTGGCCTTTACAGCTTCACCAAACGATAGGAGACGAATGTGGATGGCACTCCAAGTCAAAGGAAGGAAGGCCTGAAGGCCTGATGGATACGACTTCAGTCTGAGGATACCGCTAGAGGTTCTTATATAGTTTCAGACTTCGATCCCCGTTTGAATGAGCCAAGGGATCGAACAGAAGGGATGCCATGTCCAAATCGCAACCTCTAAAACTAATTAGGATGGTCCGCACAAAACTAAAAATATATACAACCTAAAATTAGCTAGGTCGGCCATTTTGATTACTGAAATGTCTCATATTGGCTTGATTCATTGTGGCCAACCTAGCGGACATGCTCGCCTCATAAATAGTGTTGCGACCTAAAACCGGATTTAGTATCGATTCTCGATTATCCGGTTGGTTTATTTTCGATGCACTCAAAAATGCTGACGTTTGCGATTGTAACAGACTGCCGGGTAATGGTTGTGTTCGGTCCAATCGGTATTGTAGGCCGTTTTGTTTCTCCATCTGGTGGTGTTGGGTGCGTACGGCGAATCGGTTCACATGAACCGGTATTGGTACAACTATTTTGGTGCCGGAACCGTTTTTCCCGCCGGAATGACTGCCAGACGCGAGGCCGGCTTTCACGCGCTTCCATTTCGCTCTTCGGTTTTGAAACCATATTTTAACCTGGAAAATAAGAAGCTAAATAAAGTCTAAAGTCTCTATATGGTTAATACTGAACTTCCTTTTTGCATGGATCTCGTTATCAAACTGCAAAAATCTATACATATAAATAAAATTGACGTGTCTGTTTGTAATATTAAAATAACCGTTTTTTTACTACATGCGTACGGTACATGCATCAAAATAACATTTTTCACAATTTTTGTCTGTCTGTCTGTCTGTCTGTTTGTTCCGGCTAAACTCTGTAATGGTTGGACCGATTTTGACGGGACTTTCATAGCTGATGTAATAGAGTGTAAGTTAGGCTACTTTTACTTTAGAAAAATAAAGTTAAATCCACGCGGACGAAGTCGCAGGTACAGCTAGTATATAATAATTTGCCTGTAGATTTAAAGGACATTAAAAGTGTTTCAGTATTTAAAAATATATTAATATTATGGTTAGGTACTCAACAAAGTTATTATAGTTTACACTAACATTTTTTATGTACTGCATTTATATATTTATGCAAGTATCCATATATTTGTATCAGTTGTCTACTATCTATAAAATAGGCTTAGGGTGGGACTAGATGGCGCTGTTTAAATTGTTCTGAAATACCTATTATTATTATACATGCCAGCTGGCTGGATCCGCGACTTCGTCCGCTTGGAATTTAACTACATTTTTCTAAAATAAAAGTAGCCTAAGTTACTCTTTATTACATCAGCTACCTGCCAATAAAAGTCCCGTCAAAATCGATCCAGTCATTTTTGAGATTAGCTGGAACAAACAAACATACAGACAGACAAATTTTATTTTGGTGTATGTACCGTATTTATATTCATATGCATGTAGTAAAAAACGGTTATTTCAATATTACAAACAGACACTCCAATTTTATTTACATGTATAGATAATTTCTGTGAAAGTACCTATATCTGGATGTTTGACATTTTCATAACTACTCAACTGGACGGACGGAGTATCACCAGAGCAGACATAAGCTATTATTTATCTAAAAAAGCAAGTAGAACCGCGGTTAACAGTTAGTATTTCATTAAAGATGTACCTGAACTTCACTAAGTTTCAAAGCGGACGCTATCTGAGATCTTTCCGTCAGACTGAGGTACTTCTTCGCGTGGAACTCCCTCTCCAGCTCCAGCAGTTGTTCGGATGTGAAGGCGGTCCTTCTCCGGCGAGCTTTGCTGGTCTCCCGCGGGGTGTCGGTACTGGAGTCCTCAAGGTCTGGCTCGGAGTCGTTTCCTGTGCAGACAGAAGATTTGGTTTTATAATTTTTTTTTTCGTTACAATTCAATTTATTTACTGTAACATGTGTACATAATGGTCTTAAACCTATGATTATTCAAAACATGCCCTGTCGGTACCGGTGTGTAAGAAATACAATATTTTGATTTACCTACATTGTTAGTTTTATGAGTATGGATGGATGTTTGTTACTCTATTAAGTAAAAACTACTGAACTGATTTTGAGTAAACTTTACAATGATATAGTTTGTACATCAGAAAACATAGTGTTATTCTGGTAGTAGTATTATATATACATATGTACATAGTATTATTATGTGCTATATCTGTATTATTTAATTTAACCTATGTGTTATTACGATCTGTGCCCAAACAAACAAACAGTAATCTATATCCACGACAAATTTCATGAAAACCCGTTCAGACGTTTACTGAAAAGTAACAAATAGACAGACAGTTATACGTACATTCGTATTTGAAATACTAGCTGGTTCTTGCTTATTATTTTTAGATAAATATAATATATGACTTCATTATATAGCATAGATTACGGAAACATATATGTTACACCAAAAAAAAACATACAAAAAATAGTACATATACATTACAGCAACAAAAACTTACGTAATAACAACAAACTGGTTTAACTGCCGTTTAACAAAAGTTAGTAATTCGTTTTATAGAAATTGCGTAAGGTTTTACAACAAACTGCGAGAGTAAGTTCTTAATCTACCAGAAAAAATATTTAAGTCTTATAAATCACTTTATTTTGTAAAAAATGTAAAATTGAAGAGTTTATAAATGATAATTATGTTTTTGTAGAGAAATGCTAACTTCAAATTCAGAGCGCTGAATATGTTATCTGATTGCACAAAGATTGAATGCGTATCAGTTTATGTACATGTCGATTGTCGCATACCTTATCCTTGTTAAGAGGACTATTACAAAATGATGCCGCTCAACTTTAGGTTTAATCGCATGGATTTACGCACACACACAGTAATACACGCACACAGACGCAAATAACCGTGTAGCTCAATCGGTGTGGATTTAGTATGAACCATTTTGATCCTTGTAATATTTTAATTAATAATGTGATATGTTTCTACTTAACTGAGACTACTTATTGGATTTTTTTAAATAACGTTATTTATCTTAATTATCAAAGTGCTAATAATGACCATATTTTTTTATTATATTATTCCTAGAGGGTTGATGTCAGGATGCTGGCCGATTGTACAACTAAAAGCCAAAACCTTAAGTAATATGAGTAACAAATAATTGGGATAAGGACAGGAAGATGAAATTACTATAACATAAATTTACTAATTAATTCTTCTTACATATTAATTCAGTTTATTTATTAATAGATACAATATAATTTATTATAAGAGTCGGATACATTATTGCCATATTCACTTGTTCTAAATATTATACTTAGCAAATAATTATTTTATTTATATATAATAGTTGTGTTTTCAAGGCTTTGTTTTGATTTAAAGGTCCCATCCTTATATGTATATTAGGTGTGTCCGCGACTTCGTCAGCGTGGTATAATGAAATTGACCAAATAAAGGAAATATATTTAGATTATAACCTAAAAAAGTTTCTTTGTTTCAATTAAACAATGACGATACTTTTATACAACCTTTCATCTCCGCTTTTAATCCCTTACAATACTTTTTTCGCACTATAAAGTAGTCTATGACCTTTCTCAGGGTATACTATCTGTGTATATGTATATCTATCTATCTATATAGACTACCTGTGTATATATATGGTAGTGAATTTACAAGGTACAGGGGAATAACACCCGAGTTTTCAGGAATGGCAACGCATGAGGGAAACAATGTGCTGATATGAACATGGCAGGTACTGCTCATGTATATAGGCGACGGTTACCCCTTTCCATCAGGCTGACGGCTCTCAGCTTGTTTGCCATTCTAAGTTGTAAAAAAAAAGCTTCAACTGCTATCATTGCTGTTCCTGCATCATTGACGTCGCTGCATGATATTGGCTGATATTGCAGCTTCTCGTTCTTGGTTGGCCGATTCTTGATAAATAATTAATTGTTAATGTCAAACCTTTTTATAAATTATTATAAGACGCCTCATTGATTATATGTAATGAAATCACCATGAGCTATAGAGATTTTGGACAGAACCTTAAAAGACCTTAGAAACACCTCTGCTCTCATTCTCAGATTTCTGAAAGACTCTCTGTGTCAACATCGTCTCCCTTATGGACTTCAATTGAAAGTTTAAAACTACTGACAAATTTGAGAGCTCATTTTTATGGAAGCACAGATAGTGATTTCCCACACTAAATGCTCAAACTTGAGGAAGGAATTTCTCAAAAGCATGATCCAGTCATGAAATTGAAGCCCGCCGAACATGTGCAATGGCGTCCCATTGGATATATTGCTTACTAAAGAATTGAAAGACAATTTAATTGTAGACCATTATAACCGGTACGTTAGCTGGGCAACCAGCTTATATACCAAGAATACCGATGATTCCAACTGATCTACCAATACCATTTTTACGGCTTCAATTTCCGGTTAAAATATCATCTACACATGTAATAGATCTATGTATGTTTTGATCTTAAAAAACTACGCAGATTTTGATTCTTTGTTATTTAATAGACAGAATAGATAGACTCAAGAGGAAGGTTTATATATAACGTCCCAATACTGTACACGGATCTTTAAACGCGCGATAACCTATATATCCCATATTCACGCGGGCGAAGCCGCGAGCTAAAAGCTAGTCTCTAAATAAAAACATTTATAATGTTGTTGACTTTTCACCCAAACACGCATAATTATTTGACATAACTGTACAGTAATGAAAGTCCAACGAGTATAATAACAGAATAGCTGCAATTTAGAAATATCTGTATTGTGTAAAATAAAATAAAATTGGATAAAATATCTCTAAACATTAAGGAATATAATTTATATATAATTTGGTAATTTATTTACAATCCACATTGCATACTAGATGATATACACTATATAACACAAGACAAATGTACGTAAAAATAATAATGGTATTTTTATAAACAATAACCCTATTTTAATTTAGAAAAAAACTACAAAATAAACATAGAGTAAAATTGGTTTCCATTTTCTTACATTTTTCTCTCAGATAAGCGTTATTTTTAAAAATACTAAAATGTTCTCTTTTTTAATTTTAACAATTAATTGCCATTAGTGTGACGAAATACCATGCTCTTGTGCTTTTCATAGTCCAGCAGGGTAGGTAGGTTTTATTTGTAGCATAACTGTACTTTTGTCTTGGCATGCTAAAATAAATATTATATATTATATATATTTAACAACAACTTTAAATTAATATTCGTAGAAATAAGTATATATTAGCAAAATTAATTAAATATTACTTAAATTATCAAAATGGTTTAGTCGCTCTATACTAATGTTCACTGACGAATGTCTTATCTTAGCGGTGTTGTAAAAAATAGCATAGATTCTACCTCGACGAGCGCTAGCGCAGCACTGAGAATTTACTTTTGGCGCAACGGAATTTATACAACTTTAAATTATTATTATTGTTTATTTTTTTCTTAGAAACTTATATTTTTTTTTCATATTTCTAATTTACAAGTATATTAACTTTATTATTATGTTTTTTTTTATGCAATAATTTCGTTGTATTTATGAGAAAATTAGAAATGATTATGGCAAAGTTTTGTTGAAATTTCGGGTTTAATTATGATCAATTTTTTAGATTTTTAAGTTGAAAATGAAGAAAAGGACGATGCTGTCTCAATTTATAAAGTAATTATCAAGTTTTAGTAAAGATATCATATCAATTTATGTTTGTTTATTAATGAACGACGACCCCAAACTTCTGTCATTTAGCGTTTTTGAATAAACTATTTTAGAAATTAGGAAGACTAACAAAGAGAAAATTAACATTTCAAAGATGTTGTTTTTAAGACTAGATATCTATCTATATAATTCAGGAATCAAAATGTATATCCGACTCTTAATTTCTTAGAACCAGAACCCCAAAGACACTGCTTTTAGGCCAAAAAATGTGAAAGGCCTCTTAATGTCTTTATACTTAGAACAATATCTATTTAAAAGAGCAACACAGAAGTTTCTGGATCGTTCTTCTTGTGGTGAGTCTGCATTCCGATTGAGTATGAGATAAAAAATATGTGACTATTCAAAAGTTGTTAAGTTTATTTGAATAAAGATTATTTCTGTTTCTAGAAAGTAGTTTCGTAGATTTCTTAACCTACAATATACCCAAACAAGGAGGGACACAGTCTTATTACATCAACATGGTTTGGGTTGAACTAATAAAGTTTTTTCCTCAAATTGACGTTGTCATCGATAATTTAAGGAAGCTGGAATAGCCCTCAGATGAAACGGTCAATAAAAAACGATGGAGCCGCCGCGTCAGCGCCCCGCCCTGCCCCTGTACTGGCCGGCTGTCATTTGACGATAGGGACAGTGATAAAAAAATATGACGTTCTCTTTTATACTGCAATGTTGGCGAACAAGCATAGGACCCATCTAAACGGTAAGGCGAAGTAATGTAGGGCATCCAATCTGGCGGTAAACGGTTACCGTAGCCTATGTCAATTAAAATGAAACACCCTTAAGAAACTGAATATACCCTCTTGAAAAACCCCATGCAATCTATTAAGAAAACCTCAGCAGGTAGTTCATTTCGCAATGTAAGTGTACGCGGGAGGAAGATCCTCTGAAACCGCACTGACCGAGACATATGTCCTAAGTTCTTACAAGCAGATGAACAGCCATAAAGAGCTGCCCAAGTACTGGCCGGCTGTCATTTGACGGTAGGGACAGTGATAAAAAATATGACGTTCTCTTTTATACTACAATGTTGGCGAACAAGTATAGGACCCATCTGATAAACGGTTACCGTAGCTTATGGACGCCTGAAACACGCTTAAGAAACTTAATATACCCTTCTTAAAAAACTCCATGTAGTCTATCA